TGGTGGTGCCCCCAACCATAAAATTATGCTCGTTGCTACTTCATAACTGTAATTTTGCTACTGTTATGAATCGGGCAACCCCTGTGAAAGGGTCGTTTGACGCCCCCCAGTGGGGTTGTGACCCACAGGTTGAGAACCACTGCTGTAAACAAAGAGGAATGATTAGTAGCTAGAAAATAGGGCCTTGGTAATAGAAACAACGCTGGGAATTGCATGACAGAATGTTGCTAGACCAACAATTTCTTCAATGTAAAGATATTTTCTCAACATAAATGGCCACTATACCATGTAGAACTCATCTGATCAAATACACCGGAATGAAACTGCAGACATCAGTGAAAAAGGAAGACAGAGAAACTCCAAATGATCAGTCAACAAAGGGCAAGGGCTGACTGTCAAATAGGCCATCAATTGCTTATATGTAAGTTCAGACTGAAGCTGAAGAAAATTAAGACAAGTCCACAAACACAAAGTACAACCTTAAGTATATCCCACCTGAATTTAGAGACCATCTCGAGAACAGATTTGACCGATTAAACATTAATCACCACATGAGCAGTGAGATGACACCAAAAACAATATCAGAAGGTCATGGAAAGCAGGTCAAGGAAAAGGCTGGGAAGGTTGCGGGAAGGCCACAATGGGGATTATAAAAGACTCTGGAACTTGCTTTTGAATACAGAATAACTAAAGGAATGGAAGAAATTATGACATAAAAGCAGAACAAAAACTTTCGAAGGGCAGTTGGAGAAGACAAAGTGTGATAATGAAACACCCAACAGAATTAGAGAGAGCCGAGAAGGACAAGCAAGCTCAGCATTTCACAAGCGGGAAGAATTGAAGGGGAAGCTCACGCTACAAGTGGTATTATCGTGGGATTGTAAGAGCAAAATATTGAACGATGCCAACAAACATCAGAAGATAGGAGGGGCACACAATCACTGTCCAAAAATAAAATCCAATCAGATCAAGAGGTAACATAGGATAAAGAATTGGTAGCATTGAAAGAAGTTCAAGCTGCACTAAAGGCAGTGGTGAAAAAATAACTCCAAGAATATAATACTTAAAAAAATTATTTTATTGGGGGCATGTACAATTCTTATCACAATCCATTCATACATATTGAAATGTTTCAATGAATGAATGCAGTGCTGGAAGCACTCTCTTGTCTATGCTAAGAAGTTTTATCCAACATACTAGAAGAAATCTGTATTTGTGTTCATTCCAACAAAGGGTTACTCAATAT